GAAAATCTGGGTTGCGGCACTATTCGAACCAAGTAGTCTACAGGTTACTGGATTGGTGCCCTACCAATTGAGAGCTAAGAAACGCAGCTGCTCATCAAGTCTAAACTTCATTTCAATCATCAGGAATTTTCACCCGGCTGCCATGTGAATCTCTGATATGTAACTAACCGTTTATCGTAATCACAGTAACGCAGGTTTTCATATCACCTTTAATCATCACTCAGTACCAATAACATCAGTCTGCCAAATCACGGTCATCTCACATAATTTCACTGAAAGAATTAGAAATGAGATTTTTCCCATATATTAATCCAGTTAAATGACTGGAAAATTCATCGACGTGAATATCTACGTGTACATGTTGTCGGTACATACGCAAAATAAGACAGAAAGATATTTAGAGGGTATATCAGTTATACTAGCTTACAGAATCCTCATAGATGATCGTTTGCTACAAATTTGCAATAATATTCATCTGCTCCCCAGCTGGTATTGTTCAACGCGATGACCATCAACATTAATGTATTATCATGTGCATTAAAAAAATACTGGATCCAAAATGGAAAACAGGCATAGCAGGTATTTGCGATCAACCTGTAAGAAGCATAAATGGTCCTACTCTCATGTATAATATAGTACTAGTGAATTTTCCTAATCGAAACTTCATAAGTATCTTTTTAAAGTTTCTGACCGTCCAGAAGTGTCACTGTTAACAACTTAGTTGACTTAGGATAGAACATAAATATGTCGTCCGACTTAACAATCCCACACACAGAGAGAAAAACCAAGTCTAGAAGTTCAGTCTACGTGTATGTTACGATGATTTTACTTTTCACAGCTGTACAGTCATAATTTTACACATTTTGGTGAATGATAGTTTATAGTTACAGATATGAATTTTGTTGCTGGTTATAGTGTAGAAAAGAACAAGACGGAGATGTAGGAAGGAATATTTATTATTGGTATCTTGTACGGTAGTCATGAAACATTGTACATTTCCCACTAAAACAACCATTTGGACAATGTGCTTCATTTCCTCTTCCGCCTCTATCTTGATTTGCTCTTAATACGCCCACGTTGTCTCGTGTCTTGCGTTTCTCTGGGCAGAATCGTTACACATAGCTGGTAATCCCCTATGACTTCTACCGCCCTATCAACATATACTACTTATATCCATTCTGATCAGCAACGCCCACTAAAATGGTAGCAAGGATAGAGTTAAATAACAGTTATCATAACTCTAAGTATGATGTAAAGAAATTAAGGATCATGAATGGTGAGAGCATAGAAACTGAATGTTAAGTTTCATAATATGTAAGGACAATTTTCAGAAATACAGAGTGATCAAGAGACGTATAGAATGGATTGTTAACGCTTAGGAAACATGTTGGAAAGAGACGAGAAAAAACAACAAAAAATAGAGATGAAGTGAACTTTCAAAGTTCGTGGATATGACAGGGATTTGCCAAGTTTCTATTTTGTATACATTTAATTAAATCCTACCAAAACCACAGAACTCTGAAGTCAACCTCCCAGTGATTCTGTTATGTTCTAAAATTCTGTAGACTAGAAAGCATTTCCTATAGAGATTTAATCGAAGTAGTTACAACCTACCAATTTCTTGTCGTATTCACCTTTGTGACAAGCAGTGAAATCCAGGACGTGCATTTCGTTCTATTTAGGAATCGTCAGGTGGATGTACCTGCGCACCCCAGTGAGTGATACTGCTCCCAGTGAGACTCAAACCCAGTACCCATAGCATCAAAAGCCAAAGTGTTATCCAGTAGGTCACTGGCACGACAGCCTCCACTCGTCAAACAGGTATGAGTTGTTATTTATTGAAACTTGTAATTTCCCGTTGCTACACTGGGTCGAGTTGCGCTACCTCTGTTGGCAGATAGGCTCCTATGCAAAAGCCTCGATCATGCCGGACATTCATGATGTTGTCTTCATCTTGGTAACTAGCCAACAGAGAACCCAGCATAGCAGGGAGAAATTACAAATATGGAATACCTACTAACTTCCTGTTTATCAATGTAGAAACTTCTTACAACATCTAGTAGAGTTCAGCATCCCGCAACTTTTTCGTTTAATATGGATACAAGGCGAATCTCTTTTAACCACAAAATTGAAATAAAAGACATTCAAAGTATTGGATGTTCGCAAATAATTATGCACCGTAAGTTTGAATTCAAAAAGAAGCTGGATGTACACAGAGATGTCATCTACTGCAGAGACTAACAGCAATATGTCAGCCTACTTGAAACAGTGAAAAAATCAGTATAAATCAAACAATAGCTAACTTACATGATGTCTTGATAAATAGTAGACAAATGAAAATACACAAAACCACTATGGATATGCATATACGTGTGCCCAACAGAAAACAAGCTGAAAACATACTTCATTTCCAGAGCAGTTAAAATGTACTTAAAAGGAGTGAAAAACCATGTCAATGAAGAAAAAAGGCTTACTTCTAAACCAATGATAAGGAAATATCTGTATCGATAACGATTAATATGTATGCATTCAACCATGCATCATCCATCAACTGGATAATTGTCAGTATATCGGTGGGCATACTTACCCATGAGAAACACATACATCATAGCACCTCAAATAGATGCCGATGAACATTTTGTTTCCGGATAAAGTATGAAAAAAAAATATGAAAACCTGGAACTATTCTTCAATTTTCATCTATCCTAATTCGTATACTCGACTAAAATATATAAAAAAACAAGTCGAAAATCAATGGTAAAACAAGCAAACAAACACAAATGTAATCTATGTTTATTTGCATACATATGTATATGCATGCTCCAATTACTGTGCAATAAGGATATTATTCATGAATAAAAGACATAAAGAAACACAGAGACATACACACAAGAAAGAGAGAGAAGAATGAGGCAGCATAAACAATACGTAGGACACAAAAATTTTTTCTCCAACTTAGAAATGCAGCAATTTTGATTATTCATACCAGAAATGGCAACAACAGAAAACATACATGTCATCAAGAAGAGTACAATAATCACACTGGAGAGAGCGGGAGAGAGAGAGAGAGAAATACTCTTGTCCGTATGCTTTTGCCTATGTGCACAGCAAACAACACCGTTACTCATATTAGAGATATGTAAGAGAATATGAAAATTCAAAGAGAAAGTAACAAAGAAGGAATAGACTAAGAATGAGAAGACGGAGGAGTTACACAACAGTTCTTTTTCATCAAAGCTTTCTTTTTTCTGATCAAAAGACTTTACACATGTCCAATTGTATATAATCATTGAACAAAAAAAGGATTTATCCATTTCAATGGAATTGACTGTGCATACTGAACATTCAATCAGCACAATAAACATGTATCGAACTTCATTGTATGCAAGAGAGACATGAATGTTAGAGGTAGTTTGCAATTAATTAACCAATCAGTGTCATCAATAGGTGTACAAATGTCACTATTATGTTCACGATAAATCAATAGCGAATGTAAATATTAAGCGATGAGTACAGCAATTAAAAAGGTCATGTATTTAACAAGTTTCAAAAGGCACAATTCTTGACATCTTTACTCATGAAGAAACACAGTGAACAACAAAAAATCTAACCAAATTATCAGTAGAACATAGATCGAACACAATAAAGACGCATGTGCACATACACACAAACATACTGGATCACTGCAACCCAATTAAATAATAACAACAATCCTTGCAATGATAATGATAGTAGTAGTACTACTACTACTAGCAGTAGTAATGGGAGTAATAATAACAGTAATTTTGGAAAATACCTTTGATAAACTATTAGGAATAAGTAATAAAAGCAAATAAACTGCATTGACTTCTTACTGAGTTCCTTCTCTTTATTAAAATGGTTATTCACTGGTCCTACAAACATAAAACAAAGAGACACAAATTCAGAGATTGTCCTCCTTTTATAGCTAGAAATGATTGGTGTGCATGTGCACATTCTAAGTATGAGAATTATAAAAATCAAACAGTCGTGTCGGTCAAAGGTATGTGTATACATTTACGCCTTCTTTCGTATCAAAAGTTCCATAGACAAGCTAAAGGGTAAACACAGATGACCTCGTCACTAAAAATAAATACTGATAAGATAGAAAAATAGACAAATAAAAAGACAACACAATGGCAATGTGGTAGCAGTACTAGTAGGTTAACCATACACAAACAATCATTATGACTTGGAATATACAAACACACACACACACACACGCATAGTTCAGTGGAAAGGAAACATCACACAAACAAGTTGTGACAAATACATGATCAACTTTATGTGGATATACATGTAATGTTTGATCTTCGCATAACACAAACTGAAAATTCACAGAAGGGGTGAGTAAACTACTGAGTGCAATGAACATTAACAATAGGAGACAAGTAATAATACTAAAATAGTAATAATAATAATAATAATAATTGATCAGGATGACAAAAACTACGGAAAAAACCAATGAATGAACAAATAAAAGAACTAGAATAAGACAAAAATTATTACATCATTGTATGACAAAAATGAAACGATTCTGAAAATTAATTATATGCGAAACTTTTCTGTGACAGTCGTTCATCATTATCCTCATCATCAATGAACAGTAGAAGGACTGAGACAGGTTAAAGATGAGTGTATGTGTGAGAGCGAGGAAGGTGTTCATTAGCTGCTGAAACTCTCAGCGTGGAGCATTAAAAAAAAAACTGTGTGTCTACAATATGTTGTTCTTCACTGAAAGAAAGGATGTAAGATAATGGCAAATATATATGTGTGTATCCATGACACAAATATTATTGAAATCCTTTACTGTTGCACAATTGACTGCTCTTGTTCAAGAAGCAGTTGGAAAAAAACAAGGATAAAAACCTGAAATGCTCCATGTAAGAAGGAAGTTAAAATCTCAAAACAGTTTGCATATGTGTATGTTACTGTCTATGTATCTGAGGGAGGTCGGTTGGGAGAGGCAAATACAACTTTGATCACATTGCAGCTAAATCAGTGTTTCTGACTTCAGAACTATTGTTATTATTGACAGTATTCAATCCAATTAATAAATTACTTGTTCCAGATAAATCACCACGTGAATTACCACTGAAATCACATCCAATTATACTTGACTGAGACACGGAATGAATATTAGACGATGCAGACGACAGGCATCCATCGGTATTGAGACCTTTCAGGCGAGAAGCTAGGGACTAATTCAAGAAGGAAATACAATTTAAATATCTCTATTACTCAACATATAACGTCTTTACAGATTAAACCAACGTGAAGCATACATTTCAATTCAGTTTCATAAGTAATCAATTGTAGTCCTGTTCCTGCATCTGAGAACAGAATTTAACTTTATCGACTGAAAGGCAATCCTGAAATTTTCCTATTAAAACAGATGCCTATTCTCTCTTGAGAATATTCAGGATCGGAATCACACTTAAAGAAAGCTATCGTTCAATGTGGTCGGTTTTCATTAAACTACACTACTTATGGTGTGGATAAGATATCCAGGTGTTTATTAAGAGTCAACTGTCATGTACGGTAATTCGCTTTCTAACTATATGGCTGTGAAACAAGACCATAAGATGAGGAGAAAATTAGAAGGCGTCAGGTGTTTGACCACTATTACTTCAGAAGCATTAACTGCACATCGTGGAACTATGACACTCATTGTATAGGATGTATTTTTTACTTGTGTAATCCCGGCGTAGTATATTAGAACAAATAAGAATATGAATCTCACACTAAGTTTTCAGGTTAACATTCAAATTTTGGTACAGAAAATGGTGACCTTTATAATCATCCAATTACATAGTGATATAGAGCAAAGATCGATGTAATACAGGTGAGTGAATAAGCAACTCGGTCAGAGAGGTTTTTCCGTTGTGCAAGTAAGGGGAACAAAAGTAGCAAAAAAAACGCTGAGAAATAATACAAAATATTTGTTTATTTTGTTATTTGTTCTAATATACTACGCCGGGATTATACAAGTAAAATTCATCCTATACAATGAATCATACTAACTCGGTGCACAAGTTTTTTCAAACCAACCAGTCCATTGTTGGTCAGGATACCTTCGAACTATGACATTAGTAATACAGTACTTAGGAGTGGAATCATATGTAAAAGGGAAAATTTAGTTGGCAAGGTTGAGAACCTTCATCAAACCATATGTTTCGGATACGCGTTACGTGTATCTGGTTGCCACCCACATGACGCGAAATGTGAGCTATAGTAGAATTAGGTTGAAAAACGGTTAGGAATAACCAGAATAAAACATGGTATAACTTCAAGAACTTTATCGTTGTTTACCTAAGTCATGTTTCGTGGTGTAGACTTACGGATTTGGGACCCTATGATAGTTGACGACGTTCAGAGTCGATCGCAGTAGTGCAGATGTATTCACACTCTATCTTCCTTCAAAAATTTGTACCGTATTTCGCTACTAACTTTATCCCCTCTTTTTTATATCATGACTTTCTACGACTTTTGATTATGACACCTCCATTTCCTTGTCTTTTGATATCTGGTATCTTGGTTTGCTGATGTGAAGTGTGGTAAATCGGTTTCTTACGCAGTAATGAAAAACTCTACATTGACACTAACTAACTGATCGCCTTGTTCTTCAACTTGTTAATCTCCCCAAAGCATGGTATTTTTAGACTGTGACATGTACCATTACGCAACTATACCGGACTCTATCACGTAAACGTCTGCTAGCACCAAATCAAATAATTTAAAAACTTGAGATGGAAGAAGAGGTAAGTAATTATTTTTTGTCCTCTGAACACTTTCACCGACCGACTTAGTTATTCGTAATTAGTGATTAACATCATTTTTCATACACAAAACGGTAACACAAAAATTATCTCAGAAATTAACAGAATGACATTTCAACTAAACGATGGAAGTAAGTGATTAAGAAAAACCAACGAATAAAGCCATCTTCGCAAGGAAGAAAACTCTTGAGATGGATGGAAAAAAGAATCCACTAAGCTGTTGTTTCATAGAATTCATTTTATTTAACTATAAATTCACTTACTTATTATTCAAAATGACGCAATGCATCATCACAGAACACAGCATAGAATGCCAGTCAACTCAACTCAACCTCAACTTCATCGACTTTTTGAGAAGGCCTTCAACAGCATCGACTGAGAAGTAATTTAGCAGGCAGCTGCTGCTTCAACACTACACTTTCAGTGCCACAAACCTCTATCAACATCATTCAACAGCTATGTGCTACATCATGCTTGCTACATGCCAAGTGAATCACAATCGAAAGCTCAGTCATGCCTTTGAAGTGAAGACAGGAAGTAGTAAGACAAGGTTGTCGCCTACTATCACTGATGATCTTCCTGATTGTGGTGGACTGGATCATGTGGCGAACTGTGAGGAGTGAGAAGACGGGCATACACTGGCTGGACCGATGAAAACACCCCCACAAGAACATTCGCATTCCATCAACGATGATTTGCGTCTGACGTCTTATGTCACACAAACTCGAAGATATACAGACAAAAAACAACAAGTTGACAGAAGAGGCACGGCAGCGAAGATGGGACTTCCTTCAAGTAAACGTAGAGAAGACAGAGGTAGAGGTGATGAAGATACCCAACCAACAACAGTATCAACAACAAGAGGCACCAATCACCATCAACGGCAGAAATCTACACAAAGTTGTCTCTTTCATCTACGTACGTACCTACCAACCTGCCCACTCACTTTCCTAGCTACCTAGCGAGCATCGTTTGAAATACAGACAGCACAGGCACAGATGAGGATGTCAACGCCAGGATTGGAAATATAGCAAGAAAGACCTTCCTGCATCAACCTGAAATAATCAGTGTGGACACCTACTCCACTGCACTACACTACACTGCACTCAGCATAAAGCGTGAACAACATCCGAATTTTCAACACTAATTCAGTCAACTCAGTGCTTCCATGTGATGGTTCACAGACTAGGCGCGTTACGATAAGCATTTTCAACAAACTGTAGACACTCATCAGCAGCTGCCGTCTACGCTCACTCGATACTGAAGATAAGAAGGCCAGAATCATAAGAATAACCAACAAGAAACTCACTCTGGTAACGAACCAACCAAGAACCTATCGCTCAACAAATATGCAGAACAAAGTGGAGATGGATTGGGCATACACTGAGAAAACCATTCGGAGACATCACATGTCAGGCCCTCGAGTGGAATTCAAAGGAGAAATGACGAGTTGGGCATCCTAGGCAAGGGTGATATGGAGGAGATCGTGTGAGGAAGAAATGAAAGCTTGTGGGCAGTCGTGGAGCCAGGTTCAAAAGACTGCAGAGAACAGGGTGAAATAAATGGAGATGTGATAATGAAGTCGTATGTTCCACTAGGAACCCAAGGGACAGATAATAATAATTATTATTCAAAATGAGATAGTACTCAATCATTTACCTGAATATCTTGTAAGTGAAGAAGTGCTTCAGCGGGTGTAATTAATTTAACCGAACCATAATAACCATTTGGATGTCCACTACTACTTGCAGCCTCCAAACTATTATGGACAACAGAAGCCTGAGTAGAATTGTATAATCCTAGTAAAACCCATCTAGCTGACATATTTGGATGAAATTCAAAATCAGGCTCATTCATTCTACTATCACCGGATTTATCATGTGCTGATGACTCTGATGACTTGATATGGTTACTGAGTGCAGAGGAGACAGTCATTTTCAGCATACCAACTGATACATGAGGTGGAATGTTATGAGCTAGCAACCATGATTTCGATGATACAGATATAGGAATAATGGGGAAATCTATACTCCCACCACCACTACCACCACGTATTTCATCTACTTCACCAACACTTGATTGCCGTCTTGTATCACTTGCAGAGCTGTTTACATCACCAACAATATCGATCCATCTTGGATCACCAAGTGGAGGAAGCTGAGAAGACAGGAAAGGCAGTCTACTATTTGATGAACTACTGCTACCACCACCACCAACACCAGGAGTCCAACGTCTATCCGTTGATAGATTACTTCGATTAGTGGAGAAATTTTCATTGAGATGAGGACTAGATCCTGACCAAGGACTAGATTCCCACAATAACGAATCTGAAAACAAACATGGAAATAAATATAACAAAGTGAGTAAAGAAGGGAGTTCAGTATAAAAATACAGTACACCTCACCCTTTTAGTTTGGGTATCAGTTCAAGTTGCCACACTTCACAGTAGTATACAAAGAACAAGCGGATAAAAAAAAAGACTGATATTAAGGTAGACAAAGGTATACGGAAGGGGGGGGGGAAACAAAAATGAAGGTCAATCAAAAATTTCAACCTTTGAAAGAGACATCAAGGATTGAATGAATATACATGTGCACAACAGTGACCAATTTTCAACCATGTCATCAAGAGTCCTCAACCACTGATTTCTATTACCTTAAGGATGCCAACCAGGCAATCTACACCTTTCTAAACAGCTAAGATCGACAGTCAGGGACTTCACAGATTCTTGCCGTATCTTGGCCTGGATACCACAAGCCTTCTTTCAACTTAATACAACGTCTCCTAACATTGCACGTCAAGGGAGGCAATGTCTCAACATGCATAATACATGTCCAAGTCACCTCACTTACTGAAGGTTCATAACCTCATCGAGTCACTTCCCTTTATTGGCTACTGGCCTTCACTTGACCTTAAGATTGCTCATATGGTGATTTGACGATTCGCTAGCAGTGCTACGAAGACAGTTATGATCAAAGACCTGAGGTCTCTTGATATCTTTTACTTTTAAGGGTCATATCTAAAAGCTGTATCACAGGACAGAACGGACTACAGAGCAGTGTACTTGGTCTTTGGTAGGTAGTTAGATATTTTATCGGCATCCAAGACGACGCAATCTGGTAGCTGTCAAACAAGCCATTCATATACAAGCTGAGATTTTGTCAGTAACTAGGCAGTTCGGGCATACGCAACTCTCCAAAAAGTGAAATGATCAACACATTCTATCGGTAATCACTATATTTAAACTGGGAATAGCTGCAACCCAATCCTGACAAATATTTATATATTTCATTGGTGAAAAACGCATGCCAAACATACTCAGATTTCTGTTCAGTGTTTAGCGAATCCTGGATTTTGTCAGCGCTTTCAACTATCAAAATAATATAGTCTGCGTAGTCCAAGTAAACCAGAAAGTCTTCAGGGAGCAGGTCAATCTATGTGTAGGCAGAAATACTTCAGGTTATACCCATTAGTACATCCATAACGAAATTAAACAGGAACGATACTAGTCAAACTGATTCCCCTAAGGTTGTCACAAGATTGCTCTCTTTTCTTATAGACTAGAATGATCAGTGAAGTAGGCAAAGCTGACGAGACTACCTCTGATTCACATACGCTACCTAGAACCTCCGTTATTCGAATCAGTAATTTTGTACCTCCACCCTTAAAAGCTTCGGGTAGCTAACCGTTAGATCCCGCTGCTTTACATCGTTTCAGGCTAGCAACTCCCTTCTGAACTTCATGGACAGTTGGAGAGCAGTTATCTATTTCATATTCACGCTGGATGCTGGGCAACTGAAGCGTTGCTGAGGGTCAGATGAGTTGTGCTTTAAAGTGTTTCAGTCGTCTATCCTGAAAGGTTATCAATGTCAAAACTTCCTTCAGTCGATAAATTCAGTGATACACCATAAAAAGCATCAACAAGACAACAGCAAGTCTTCACTACATTCAAAATGTACTGGTGTTAAATTTGTAGCTTCACAAAAGACTTCCAGGTTGGACTTCACGCCATAACCAAAATCAGTGGCTAGAGACTACAGTTGACATGATTAATGATGAGTCTCAGTGCTGCAGACCCACTCACATATTACTTCTTTCCTAACCGTCATGTTGAATTTCGTTGTTTCATCTCCACTCCCTCTCTTTTCGCGACTTTCTATGAATTTTGATAACACTTGTAAAACATCTTTCCTTCTGTTCCCTTGCATCTACTAAAAGAAATCTAACAAAAACCCAATAGGCTTGCAATAAACATGTTAATCAATAAAGTAATAGCCAATTATCTTACTCATATTGAAATTAGATTGTTCTTGGGTAAAATCAGGATTTTCATTCCCACTGATTGTGTGAGGAATATTTGAAGGTTGATTTGACTTTGTACTGCCTAAAGGTCCACTTTGAGCTGGGACAGATGACCATGATGAATTAGTCAACAAATTCAATGGACCACAATTCGATGCTAAAGTAGAAATGCTATGTAAGTTTGAAGATGGTTGACCCATGGATAGTGAAAGTGGACCTGTGGGATGATTCTGTGATGGATTAGGATTAGGTAAATTAGCCGTAACAGTGATTTGTTTCAGCATACCAGCTTGACTACGAACATGTTTAAGTTGAGCTTGTTGTGCATCAATCTGCTGAGCAACTTGAAATGCTTGAAGTTGTAGTTCTTGAATCACTGGATTAGTTGCAAATGGCACATTTGCTGATCGTATATGAGACAGTTTCTGGTTTAATTCCTAGACAGAAAAAAAGTTTTATGTAACGAATATAATAATAATGGTAAATTACCAAGAGTCAGTGAACCAATTGGTGCGCAGCAATAAACTGTAGGTAATAATACGGAATAATATATCTCAAGCTGATACAGATTTATGTACTAAACCATAAGCCATGCTTGTTGTGTAAGGAAAGATAATTATATACTTATTACTTACTTAGAACACAAACTAAAAAAAATGGATAAAACAGTGGCGATAGGTAACGGTTAACAGTTATTTAGACTGATCAAGAAAACTGGGGCGAAAAGTTAACGACAAGTGAGATGATTCTTAGTTTAATATTTAGAACACAAACTTTGTACAACATGGGTACCGAGAGAAGCGCCATGAAAAACAATAAAACCAACACTAAGAAGAGACAATAAAGGAAGAAAGGGAAACAAAAAGAGAGATAGTGTATCAAAGAAGCAGTCTCAAAGATATGTATGAAAAAAGCATCGACTGCTTTCGTTTTACTTCGCAATAATAGAAGAAAGCTGTAGCATGATCGCCACTAGTTCCGATTCTCAGTTATGTCTGCTATTGTTTCAAGTCACTGAATTGCAGTTTTTCTCGGACCTCATCCAAGAAATCGTAAGATACCTACACATGACAAACCAACACAACTATGCTTCATTCCACGGTGCCATGTCATAAACTGACGATCTTTTCGCTTCTTACTACTAGTCCCATGAAAGTTAACAGTGATTGATGTGAGAGCGGCTGGATTAGGTTGGGGAAGAGTTTAGGGTGGTCAGACGGAGATGTGGCACCAGACGATGAATTCTCTTACTGATGATTTGAGTCGTGTGGGGAAATGAAGACTACGTAACTGAGGTCCCCGAGACAATTGGAATCAGTAGTTGAGGTCTCTTGGTGACATGGCTGAAAATTGGTCACAATGGAGCAGATGTATTCATTACTTGACGTCCTCTAAAGCTAGAATATTTGCACTAACCGTTACCTTGTGATTATTGGTTTTCTCACACAACTTTGTCTACTTTAATATAACTCTTCTACCTATTTATTCTCTGTATATTACTGTAAAGTGTGGCAACTTGGACCGATGGATTTGTGTGGAAGGTTCTACTCCGATTTTGTCTGTCTGTATGTCGGTCTGTAAGTCTGTCTACCTCTATGTGATAAGAGATAAACTAAGATCGGTGATAATACACTGTTATTGAGTCCTCTACTTCATTAGTGAAACTTAATTCGGTTGCTGAAATATTACATTAGGTGTGCAAACTCGAAAAGTGATATTGTTAGCTACTGAGAGAAGGACTAGTGTATTTGTAAACACTAGCACCTTGCTAGATACCTCTATTTAACATATACATGAAATAACAACCGAAAATAAATAGGCAGTAGTTAGGCTATCGATTTACGCTGCTGTTCTCTGGGAAACATTTTGCGCACAGGAAGTAATATGAGTTAGATTATGTTTAAGTTTTGGACGAAGATACCCTATGGTGCCAACCACACCACATCGAACTTAGAGTCATATACTATGCAGCCTATTAACCAAAAAAAAACTGCATTTTCTGAAATGTGCAAACTAGTGATCGGTGGCTTTATGAACCGATAAACAGTCGCGGTTTGATAACCCTAAGGCTTCTCTTGTCAGGCTCTTACACTGAAGTTATCAATGTGAAGTGATACGATCTAGCTAACAATACTCTAATCATATCAGTCAATGGGAATTCACAACTTCATAAAATAATTAACTTTAAGTGTTTCTTACTTACAAGTCAGATATCATACTGTTTGCTTAGTGTCATAATGTAACCATATTTGCATTGTAGTGTGATCTTGAAACATCAGTCTACATGGTTCAAACAGTCAATATTAACACGAAAACTGGCAATACTGAGAAATCGTTCAAGTTAACACAGCTGATGTCGGAGTATTAGAATACACAGGGTGGTAAAAATGAAGTAGTGGTAAGAAGAGAAGACGAGGAGTAAAAACGACAAAAATATAAGACACGACAATGGTAATAAAGATAATATGTGGATATAATTAATATCGATTATGAGTCAGAACACCAAGAGTCACCGATTTTTAGTAATTATGCAGATTCTGAACGGGTGTTCTGGATCAACTTCGATCAGAAAAATGATTGCCAGTTAAATTTTGTTATCGACTACTACTTATATATACTGACTCATAAGATAGTTAAAGTAAAACTCATCCTAATAACCATCATGTTCATACTCGTCAGTGTCCTTAAAGAAAGAAATTTTCATTTCGCTTGTTTATCACACTGAAGTAAGCAATCAGATACTTCAGTTTCAACAATAAGAAGATCGATGCAATTCAAACTACTTTTGTTTGTATTTTCTCACTTTATTCTTCTCTCAACCTCTCATTGTATTAGTGATGCATAGTTTAAGTGCTAAGCACTGACGAGAGAAAACAAACAAGATAAAAGAGCATTACTATTACTACTACTAATACTACCGTCGAGTACACATATAATGCATATGTATTGTTCAAATCAATCCAATACAAAAAGATATCGACACAAGGACTACCAGTACATCAATAGATTGCTCAATATAAATTTGTTTCCTTACATCTCTCGATCACACTCTTAAATACCAGATTATTATTATTATTGTATTTTTGAGATGAACGAGGATTTTTAACTTAGGGGCAGCATTCATCACGGACCGACATCAGTTAGGAAACCATTTAAGATCTGCGAACACTGGACAGGTGTTTCATCCTAGTATGGGACTACTCAGCAGTACGGAAACACGACCCGGCTAGGGATCGAACCCAAGACCTACAGGTTTCACCGCGAATGCCAAGGAGCCCCATACTAGGACGAAAAAGCTGTCCACTGCTCCCAGATCTTTAATGGTTCCCCATCTGATGTCAGCTGAATAACAATATCCTGTGCAGAAGTGAATCGTTATGACACAGATTCTCTATCAGTTAATCAGTCAATATCACAATGGGTTACTACATTACTGTGCAACAGACCATGTTAGGTGTAAGGTCAGGAAGTCACTGATGACCCTAGATGATGATCACATTATATCATAAATTGGTAGAAGCAGAAAATTTCACCCCATGGATTCCGACCCATAGACAGTAGTATTGTAACATGCTAACTGCAGTAGGCAATGGGCTACATCTATTGTGTGAAGGCTAGTGATACTTCCTGGCTGCCCATACCTCGGTAGGTGGAGTGGGGTTCGAACCCGTGACCTAATAGTCGACAGTTATCTCCTTCAACCACTGAGCTACAGTCCCATATTGCAAAACCTGGTAGTCTTGGGCTCGATCCTGAGTAGGATCATGGGTGTACAGTCACAAACTAGCACGAAAAAGCTATTTAGTCCTTCCAGCCTTGTAATGTTTCTTTACTCGACATCGATTCCTGGATAAAAAGAACGAAATAATTAGACAACCAGTACTACTTCTTATGCTACTAGTGAAACACACCCTGAGATTATTTTCAACGGTCTAGCAAGAAACACAAGTCACACTCGTAGTAAAAGTACATTCAGCTAGAGATATTCAATTTCGTCAAGTTTACTGGTTCACTAGATACTATCCAGTCCTAAGCCCCGGCAAAGAGGGAAGGTTGGACTTAAGGCTAGCAAACCTACATAGCGAAATTAATCTAACCTCTAAACAACCTTCAAAGCACAAAAAACATAAAAAAATAAACGTATTCCTCCCTGGAATCGGAGTGATGAAATGACCCCAGCTGGTGAAAGCCTTCGGGAAGCCAGTTGGACGATGTGTCTTCTCCCTATCCATAAAAGCAAACATAAGAATGGGGACATAGAATGTCCGCACCATGTATGAACCTAGCAAGGGTGTCCTGATTGCAAAATACATGAGAAGGTATAGTATTGAAGTGTTAGGAATCTGAGAAAGCAGGTGGAATGGAAATGGACTCTCCAAAACTGTCAACTACAGAGGAGTCAATAATCTAATCTACTCCGATATTCTCACCCAGACGATAACCATCAGCACACTGAGTTTGCGAGTAGCTTTCATGATGTCCCCAACAGCATTGAAGGCTATCATGCAGTGGGAACCAATCTACTCAACGATCAGAATCATGACAGCAAGCTTCAACTCAAAAGGAAGGAAAGTCACAATCATACAATACTACGCTACGCACCTACGAATAACGCAGATCAAGAGAAGAAAGAGGAATTCTACACACAACTGAAATCACTACTAGACAAAACCCCATTCCAGTTGGTGACATCGAAATTCATTCTAATCGGTGGGGTGACATGAATGCCAAACTCGGAGCAGACAACACATAAAGAAAACTCATCATGGGTCGAGAAGCAATCGGTGAAATGGTGAATCAGAATAGAGAACATTTTCCAGGTTTCTGCACATTCAACCATTGCGTGATTCCAGGCACTGTGTACAAACACAAGGATATTCACAAAGACACATGAATTCGATTTCAACAGACACCAGGACACAATAAAATCAGATCGAATTCATCTCAATCTCAAGAGAGTGAAGACGCAGCCTACTCGACACAAGATCAGATCAACAAGGGGAGCAGATGTAGGTTCACACCACTCACTATCTAGTGCAAGGAACCTACCTACCTACCTTCAAAATCAACTTGAAAGCCTTCAAAGAAGTTGGTGATAGACGACCACAGTTGAAGTTGAACACCCAGAAGACAAACTGAACTGAAGGACGAAACCACAAAAAACATCTTCACGTCAGTTAGCCATCAGAACAAGATGGGAGACATTGAGCAACATCCCTGAAGGATCGCGCGTGGGAGAACACTGGAACTCTTTGGAAGCTATGTGGAAAGAAACCTGCATAACTGTGTTACGAAGGAAGAAGAAGAAGAAGAAGAAGCAAGACAGGACAGGACAAGGAATGGATCTCGACGGACACATGGAAGCTGACAGACGAGGGGGAGGAGGATAGTGAAGTAGAAGATAAACCAGTTCAAGGATGAACAACGAAAAGAGCAACTGAACACAACCTATAAAACACTACACTGGACAAAGAAGTGAAGAAGAGTGCGCGCAAAGACAAAATACACTTCTACGACACATTGGCAAGTGAAGCACAGCAGGCTAGGTGCAGGTAGGAGAGACAGAGACCTGACAACATTATATCAAATAACCAAAACACTATCTCGGAGGGAAGAGATCAACACACGAAAACAATGAAAGTTAGCCAAGGAAACCTAGTTACCACTAAAGAGAGAAACAAAGGAAACAATGTGCCAACCACTTGAAAAAACCCGTGAATCAACCACCACCTGCAGCTCGTCCAAAAATACCACCAGCAGCCCAACCACAGAATTACCAGTGAACACAAGCCCTCCGACAAAAGCCGAAGTCAAGTTCTGAACGCCATGAAGTTGCTGAAACCCGGGAAAGCAGCAGGACCAGATGGAATTCCTCCAGCAGAACTAAAAACAAATGCACAGAAAACAACCGACATGCTCACACCACTATTGCAGAGATTTGGAAGGAAGGAAGGAAGGCAGGAAAGGTAACTGCCCATTGATTGGAAGAAGGGCTACCTTGTCAAACTCTCGAAGAAGGGTGACCAAAGTCGTCTTTGCAAGAACTGGTGTGGAATCATGCTCCACTCGTGTCCACCCAAAGCAAGCAAAATATTAGGCCGCATCATCTTGGAGAGACTAAAAGATTCTCTGGATTCAAAATTACGACTGGAACAGGCTGACTGGCTTCAGGAAGAACAAATCATGTGCCGATCAAATTGCAACGCAACACTACGCTACACATCATCATAGAACACAGCATAGAATGCCAGTCAACTCAACTCTACCTCAACTTCATCGACTTTTTGAGAAGGCCTTCAACAGCGTCGACTGAGAAGTAATTTAGCAGGCAGCTGCTGCTTCAACACTACACTTTCAGTGCCACAAACCTCTATCAACATCATTCAACAGCTATGTGCTACATCATGCTTGCTACATGCCAAGTGAATCACAATGGAAAGCTCAGTCATGTCTTTCAAGTGAAGACAGGAAGGAGTAAGACAAGGCAGCCACCTACTATCACCCATCATCTTCCTGATTGCAGTCGACTCAACACCACTGCATCACACAACAAAATGTGAGGAGTGAGAAGACGGGCATACACTGGATGGACCGATGAAAACACCCCCACAAGAACATTCGCATTCCGTCAACGATGATTTGCATCTCACGTCTTATGTCACACAAACTCGAAGATATACAGACAAGTTGACAGAAGAGGCACGCCAGCGAAGATGGGAATTCCTTCAAGTAAACGTAGAGAAGACAGAGGTAGAGGTGATGAAGATACCCAACCAACAACAGTATCAACAACAAGAGGCACCAATCACCATCAACGGCAGAAATCTACACAAAGTTGTCTCTTTCATCTATCCACCTACCTGCCTACCTACCTAGGCAGCATCGTTTGAAATACAGACAGCACAGGCACAGATGAGGATGTCAACGCCAGGATTGGAAATATAGCAAGAAAGGCATTCCTGCATCAACCTGAAATAATCAGTGTGGACATCTACTGCACTGCACTCAGCATAAAGTGTGAACAACATCCGAATTTTCAACACTAATTCAGTCAACTCAGTGCTTCCATGTGATGGTTCACAGACTAGGCGCGTTACGAAAGCATTTTCAACAAACTGTAGACACTCATCAGCAGCTGCCGTCTACGCTCACTCGATACTGAAGATAAGAAGGCCAGAATCATAAGAATAACCAACAAGAAACTCACTCTGGCAACGAACCAACCAAGAACCTATCGCTCAACAAATATGCAGAACAAAGTGGAGATGGATTGGGCATACACTGAGAAAACCATTCGGAGACATCACATGTCAGGCCCTCGAGTGGTATTCAAAGGAGAAATGACGAGTTGGGCATCCTAGGCAAGGGTGACATGGAGGAGATCGTGTGAGGAAGAAATGAAAGCTTGTGGACAGTCGTGGAGCCAGGTTCAAAAGACTGCAGAGAACAGGGTGAAATAAATGGAGATGTGATAATGAAGTCGTATGTTCCACTAGGAACCCAAAGGACAAATAAGGTAATGATTATAAACCTAGAGATCTTTATAGCTGGAGATTTTTTTGTTCAGAAACAAATAAGGAATAAAATAATTATTCACCGAAATAATGGTGGAAAATTGTCGAATCTATCATGCTTGAATTTGATGTTTAATGTTTAGACATGTGCAATACATTAATTGACTGGATATCGAAATGCGTGGAGCAACCATGTACATTTTTATGCACTATACAATAAACCCAGTAGATTGCGTGAGGGAAAATGATACTACGAGGCCGTCGAAACCGCTTCAGCCGAAGCAGGATTCGAACCTACGGACGAGTGGTTGACAGTAGACTATCTAGACCAATGAGCAACAACTCTATTAACTGACGGTCTCATTACCATGCCAACACCCAACAGTTACGTTAGTGCAATTACAAACGGAAAGGTTGACGAATGTAAACCTGATAAGTATACATTGATTTAAATCACACACCTTTTAAACAGTACAAAAACAAAACGATATTAGTACAAATAAGAGGACTATAAATGAAAGAGAATAAACCAATGAAGAACGATACAAATATTTGGAATTTTGAAGATAATAAACAGTAAAATGCGTAGGTTGAACTCATTTACGGTTAACAGATAAAGCACAGGAGAATTAGTCACAAAGGGAATAAAATTTCGAAGAAAAACACTGATGAAATTCAAGGCTATTTCAGACGGTTCGATCAACAGAAATAAAACTATTCTTTGTCAATCTTCAGGTTCGTACTAAACAGGGTAATCTGTAAGATTCCTTGCCATAAAGTCATTGAATAATTGCAGCTATCCGATTTAACCACTGAAAACTTTAAAAGACAAACGAAATAGGGAGGAAAACCAGTGGGAAAGGCGTAGAATTACACTTCCAAATTGTGATTAAGTAGCTCTTAAAGTAATCGCGCTTTAACAGCCCCCTAATGCTTAATTACTGATATCTGAAAGGTTTGACTATCTCTGTATCTATGGGAACTAAGCATAATACCCTTATGACACAACTAGATGAATATCACACCTTCAGTGTCTATTAGACTGACTATTTCAATTAGCAAGGCTGAAAAAACAAACGTAGTAGCAAGGGTGGTGGTGGTGGAGGCGGTAGTAGTATAGCGTTTTACTTACTTGATGCTTGGAATGAAGTTGAACAATTGTTTGAAGAATCTGTGATTCACGTTGTTGAAGTAAGTGTAAGGACAATTCCAAGTTCTCTGCAGGTTGACTATTGACTGGCATATTCGATTTTGATACCTGTATACATACAGTATAATCAAATAAAAGAGAAATGGGATTACAACAGAAGAGAATGTCTAAACGTTTACTAATTTATATATGCATATAGGTGGTTCACATAAGTTATGTTATAAAGTCATGCGAACCTATCCATCTTGGTTATAAAAAATGATTTGTCAATTTCAAGTTAGTATTCATCATGGACTGATATCAGTTGGAAGAACATTGGACCACAGGACAGCTGCTTTGTTCTGGCATGGGACTCCTCAGAAGTGCATACCTATGATTCCGTACCCCCGGGAATCGAACCCAGGACCTTCAGGTCTCGTGGCCAGCACGTTACCACTCAGCCATTAGATCGGAATCCAATGGTTCATATATCCAACTTTACGATATAACGCGACCATCACCTAATGTCATCATTGAGTATTTGTCCTCACGGCCACCAGGTCTGCCTCACTGGTCACGACTTTTTATTGGAACTTCAGGAATCACCTATCGAAGCTAGTCACCAATAAACACTAGATTAGTTTAATTTAGGGGTTTGTGGGGATTTATTGATTTCAAGTTGGTATTCATCATGCACTGACATCGGTTGGAGGAACATTGAAAACCTGGGGGCACTGGATGCCAGTTTCTGCCTAGTATGGGACTCCTCAGCAGTGCGCACTCATCACCTCGCCAGGGGTCGAACCCAGGACATGTCAGAGACTACCGTATGTACATATCCTCATTGATAGGCAATAGAATGTTTCAATCGAATACATCTTTTCTTTTTGTTTCTGCTGATGGATAATGTTACCGAAATTCCAAATCTGTTTACTTCACATTTACTGATATCTCATTCTTTCGTTTCACATACTCCCTGAAAGAACGTACAATAAAGCATAACTAAGCAACTACTTGAAGTTTCAGGTGCTAAGCAGTGAACCACACCTAAGAAGTGATCGCTAAAGTTAATACTGGGTTGTGCAGATCTCTGTAGGCGGTGTGACCTTTGGAAACTATAACCTGGTTTAATGGATTCTATGAATGAACTACTTAAAGGTAATGACACTTTTTCGCACTATGCACATCTCATTTTTTTAGTGTTACCTTTGGAGAGTCAATCATCACAGGAAGCAATGTTCTACCTAGGTTCTGTGCATGTTGACACTTAGTAGCAGCGCGTATTTAGAACCACGAGGAAACTGTTGTTATCTCAGTGATTCGGATCCATGGTCACGGAATGCTGAAATGAAAGTCAAGAAGCACGAAACTTAAACCTACGACTTCTTGCTGACTGAATTCAAGCATTTAACATCAAAATATAGTGCAACATAGTGTCGTGGTCACATTCCAAATTCGGTCGATATACTTCTATCAATTTTAAAGCCAAAGATTAACGTATATCTCAATTTATTTACTCAAACACAAACTCAGCATAATGAAGGTATAGAAAAACAAGTTACACATTCTAGAGTATCATATCATGGTTTGTATAAGGGCTGATATACTTATAACAAGTTCATATTGAAGAAATTGGTTGTCTTAAGGGATTAATTCCCGAACGTTTAGTTTGAAGCGTAAACCACGAGGCAACACAAAAATATCAACAGTTACATCTCCAAAGTAACTAGTGGCCATACGCTATTTCTTCCTTCAGAATCCTAAAGTTAATTTACACCAAAACAAAGAGACATTCGCAAAGTCACGGGTTTACTTCAGTATCTAATGACATTGTCATTCATGTGAAGACAGACTCTGGGTCTCCTCTCATTACTTGCTAGTTCATTCTTTATGTCTTCGAAGTAGCTATTACGCTGAATTGTCTAGAGCAATACGCTACAATAGACTTCAATACCACATTATTTTCCAACACTTCTGATTTCTAAAAACAAATAGTGAAATCTGCACACAGTACAGACAAGAAGTCTGCTGCTCCCGAACAACGTTATAGAATAATTTCACGTTCCAGAACAAAATCTTATTGTCAACTCTAGAGGCAGTTAGTAGTGGTAAGGTTTTATACAATAGTGTTATCTATCTACTGTTGCAAATAGGATGAAATAAAAATATCAATCCCAAAAGTAGTACACACTCCTTTCTCCTCAACCCTCCAGAAATCGATTGCCAAGAGCCAATTTTTGCTCTAAATATTAACTTAGTCGAATAGAATCAAAGCCAGATGTTTCTAAAAAGAACATCTTTAGCTGACCCTTTAGTTTCTTGGGTACACTATCTGACCGACGATGCAATTCAGTTTCTTTTACAGGCAAATACAGTGCATCAATTATTAGATAGTAAAAGAATAACTATTGTTTTGATAAATATTCCTATAGATTATTCTTTTTAATAAGAAAAAACTATTGTTATGATACACGACGTATGGGTGCAACTGTAACTGTTTTCAGAATATAAGCACTGTAAGTAAAATAAATGAAAGTAGAGAAACATATATAGGATACAAAAGGCTTACTTCACTTCCTCCTCTTACAGTAATAGGCCGACCGGATGTTGAACCTTGCCCAGGCATATCTAATCGACAAGACAGATTATTACCATCATCTGGATTGTGGGAAGGCAAAAGACTAGCAGTGATAGGCTTCAGAGAATTGATCAACTCATCAATGCCTGGATGACCTGATCGGTCACGCAAATCAACTAGAAATAAGATAACAATAAAAATAATTCTAATTTTCGTAAGAAATCGAAAACGATAGTAACACTCTCCTAATCAAAACATGAAAGTTATCTAGTTGTTATTCAACGAAGACTGACATCAGTTGGAGGAACAAAGGAAACCTGGGAGCACTGGACAGCTGTTTCGTCCTAGTATGGACTCCTCAGCAGTGCGCACCCACGACCCCACCAGCAGGGATCGAACCCGCGACCTTCAAGTTCCGCGACCAGCGCGTTACCATTGAGCCAGGTTTCCTTTGTTCCTCCAACTGATGTCAGTCTTCGATGAATAACAACTTGAAATATTTCCAAATCTCCACAACCCCCTCGAAAGTTATCTAGTTGTGAAATAATCTATTAACTATTTTTAATTTGTTTTATCCTCGTAGAAGTACATAACATTAACCTAAATCGTGGGTGAATAATCAATGGAACAAGATAAAAGTTATAGAAATGTATGACCAACTACGTTAGTCAGAACTATAACTTACCCAAAGCTCGTTCAACACTCGTATTTGTATCAGCGAATACAGGTTGTATTTCATCCTCTGAAAAACCCAGACTAAAAAGTTGACGCATTACATGAGCACGAATCACACTCTGTTGTTGTAATTGGAGCGAATGTTGTTGAGGGCTCATAAACATACGCTGAGACATGGATGAAGATGTAAAACCGGGAGTCATGGCTGAATAGAAGGCACTCTGTGGCGTTCTAAATGCTTGATTTATACCACGAGTAGGAGCTAGTGACGAAGGAAAATCTGAACCACTGATCTGTTGAGACACTCGAGGTGTTATGCTCTGAGTGGGTTGATTGAAAAATCCGCCAGGATTATTTTCCATTCCAGAAGTACTGGTTGGCCATAATGGGCCTTGCATTGTACCCGGACGTCTTTGGTCTGTCAGTGGCCATACACCTTGCATTTGTGGAGTTGTCGCACCAGGAGGCCATCTTAAACCAGTGGAAGTCATGTTTGGTAAAATATGGGACGACGGATGTTGTTGCTTGCCACCAGGTAAACGATTCATAGTTGGACCAGGCCACCGAGATTTATTACCAAAATTAAGTCCTGGAACAGCAGGATCACCTATAAGCAAACAGTGAAATTCTATATTTGCGGATAAATCCAACTGTGTGATGTAATATAAGTGGAGGCATCACAAAGTTTCATTTAATTGTTTAACTGGCCTTATAACCCATCTTTATCGTAGTTTGAAGTCCACAACGTTCATTTGATAGCCCTGAAACTATGCACTTCTGACAGTGAGATTCTTCAAGATTACGGCTGGTCATCTCATGTGGATATTCTCAGGTCGCTTAAACTTACAGTTACTTCGGACTATTTCTAAACAATTAGATATCGTATACATCTAGAGTTTATCCACTAGTCGCACACAGACACACTTCTAACAACAAATAGATCACTTGTGATTATCAAGCTTCCTCATCAATCTTCTGCTGCTGCCAGTCATAGTCCTATTCATGGTTTTTGCAACCTTTTGCACATTTGGACTGATTTCTAATACATAAAGAGATGTTTAATATTGATTCGCAGCTAAATAACTGTGACAACTACTAGAACAAGTAGTTCTTCACGATTAGTTATGCTTAGTTGTGTAGAGGAAAAGTGGAAGTTTCCAGCCAAACCATCCTGTTGAAAATAAACAAAATAATTTGGAAAAATAAATCACTATCTTTTTTGTTCTACCTCGTTCCTGTCTTTTTTCTAGTTTGCTGTTATTAGTTTTAACTATTATTTCCCTCTGTTGTATCATTCTCTTGAGGTATGTAGTACCATAAACTGGTACGGTGATTTTCATATCTTTCAAATTATCACTTTGACCATCTGAGATAGCCGTGGTTTGGTAAACTTATATTGATACTGAGTAATAAATGAAGGTGAAATGAAAATACAGACCATGGCAGGATTCGAACCAGTGACCGCTGGGGTTCCCGACCCGGTACTCCATAAACTGAGCTACGAGACCCGATTCCTGGCCAGATTTTCATTTCACCTAAATCACCAAGGATGTTTCCTGACTGCCACGTGAATTTGTGATGCGTTATTACTGTTTGATCGTATTCACAGTCAGGACTTTTCACCCAAATCTAAATCTACTTGAATTAGAGAGAGAGAGAACATTATACTGATTACCAGTTTGACTATCTGAGATGGTCATGGTTTGGCAGACTTGCATTGATAATGAATGATGAATGAAGGTGAAATGAAAAATCTGATCAGCAAGTCGGCTCTCGTAGATCAGTTGATAGAGTATCGGGTCGGAAACCCCAGCGGTCGCCAGTTTGAGTCCTGCCGTGGTCTAGATTTTCATTTCACTTCCATTTATCACTCAGTATCAGCATTTCAAATTGTTTTGTTTGGTTAAAAACTCTAAAACCCCTAGTTATACAACTGTTAACAATGTTTGAGAAGTTTGGTCAATGTATATGAAGAACGTCACAGCTAGATAGCAAATTAAGGTATATATGTGAAAGCAGCAGAAAGGTGTGTATTCAACCACTGAAGTTGTAGATCATGTATACAATCTCTCTTTTTGCATAACATTGTACTTATTTGTAACTCAGAGATGAATTATGTTGCCTGATTGGTGAATAAGTGATTTACATAGAGACAAGAAGCAGCTAACTTGTACAAAAGAAAGTCGGTGCAGCACGCAAAGTGAATCGATCGACGAAATAAAAAGAAATCTAACATAAGTAGAAGAATCTATAAGTGTTGTAGCCCATCAAGTCAATCAAGATGTTCAAAACTGTTCAGATGTATATTATAACTGCAATCTAGCCTTAAAATGCCCAATCGAAAACAACTTATTTATATTCCAAGTTGTTATTCATCATAGACTGACATCAGTTTGAGGAACAAATGAAACCTGGGAGCACTGGACAGCTATTTCGTCCTAGTGTGGGACTCCTCAGCAGCGCGCACCTACGACCCAACCAGGGATCGAACCCGCGACCTTCAGGTTCCGTGGCCAGCACGTTACCATTGAGTCACTCGGTCAGAATCTAATGGTCCATATTTCCAACTTCTGTGAGCTCACGATATAGCGCAACCGCCCCCCAATGTCATCGTTGAGTAACTGTCCTCACCATCATTCATTAGATAAACAATTAGACGTAAAAATAACAACATACCTGGATGAGTTGCAGGAGAATAAGGCCAAGAGACTCCGGATCCAAGATTCACCGGAGCAGTCATTGGAAAACCTCTAGACTGACCAGTGGTTCCCACATTACTGTTTACAGATCCAAGTGAGTGATTCCCTCCAAAAATTGGTCTTGTACCCAAATTCATAACATTAGAGCTTGGAGGTGGTTGACCTAAAGGAAATATGGTCCCTGGGATTGGACGATTTATTCCACGAAAACTCTCTGTAGTTGGTGGAAGCTGGCCTTGTTGGGGGCGAGATCTGATAGGAGGATGTGACATTTGACTGGTGGCGAAGTTAGCCTGATTTATAGGATGAGATGAAAATGAAGGCTGAGATGTTTGTGTGGAGTTGGTACTTTGGTGCCACCTAGCAGTTCTTTCGCCAAGACTTTCATAGTGCGATTCCCAAATCCCTGTGCCGTTAGGAGGTTCACTTGGCCAAACATTTGATTCCAGATCTCTGCTTACTGAAGCATTAGTTGAACTAAGACGTCTGGGGTGCAAAGATGATTGGGCGCACGATGATTGAATATTTGACACTGTACTTGGTGGATTGTTACCTGAAATTCGTGATCCAATTGACGCTTCATTAGCAGGTGGAGATCCTGTCTCAGGTGCAGAGGAATGTATTGGTAGGCAATCACCATTTGCTTCAGAACAATTCCATGGTGTGCTTTGATCAACCGGATGAATACCCCATGGTTCTGTAGTATTAACAGCTGTACGAATAGCTTCCTCAGTATCACAAGCGAAGGTATCAATGTCTGAACCTGACTTCTTTGAAACACTTTTCCCTACATCTAACTCTGATAATTTGCTGCCACCACGAGCACTGGTATTCATACTTGCAGTAAGTGCTTGATTTCCAATAAACTCCGATTGACTGCAAAACCCAGTGACCGAATTATGATTATCATTATCACCATCATCATTATTGTTGATATTAATATTTGATAGAGGGAAAGCTAATCCAGATCGGTCATCTACAAATTATGTTTACAAATAGTAAAAAGAAAAAACACAAATAGATGGAGAAAAATATTCGGAATATTTCTCTAATCAGTCAAGAAATCGACACCATGAAGAATACAACAACTAAATTTAGATTCCTACATCTAAATCCTTTAAAAATAGATGTAAGAATGGATAGAATTCAGTATATCACCAAAAATTGCATCAATATCAGGATAGAAATGGAGTAATTCTATGCATTTAAAATGACCAGCGCATAGAAATTAGTCAGCAGATGGTCACTCTAATACCATGCTCAAACACTCGATACGGTCAATATTCAATGTAGGATTAGTGATAGATTCTGAAAGATAAACAGTGACAAGTTGAGATCTTGACTAAGCTAGCTATAATTACATCTTGCTTGGAACTATCTAACACGGGCATACAAATGTGCGCAAGTCCATCCATAAAGGCTAAACGAATAATGAGAAAGTAAGAAAACACCTGTGAAGTAACATTTATTCCTGTTGGATGTGTCAAAAGTTGTTTACAGTCCACAAGAAAAAGTATAGATCGCTGTTCAAATTGCTCCAATTAATACGTTTCTCAAGACCCCCTGGAATATGTGACAAAGAACCATGTAGTGACCATACTGTAGTGGGGGCATTATTTTTTTATCAAAATGCTCAACATAAATCTAGAAACACTGAAAAATTCAAGAAAGTTTTATGAGAAATATTGTCTATGTCCTTTCGAAATTTAATTTGGTCAGTTATTAACCTAGGCACGCTTCCTACTGATATAAACATAAATGTTTCTTAATTTATGATGGCGGAGAATAGTTGTACCTCAGACATATGCTTCTGGTGGTGCTGCACTTCATGAAGTGGATACTTTCCTCTCTTTTTTCATTGTGCTACGAAGCACAAGTATAACAGTGGAATGGAACAAAACGTCCTCAGCCACCTTGTACACATTCGTGCAGTAGGCAGTGAGCCACATCTATTATGTGAGGGCTAGTGATACTACCAGGCTATCCAAACGTCGGTAGGTGGAACAGGGTTTGAACCCGTGACCCAATGGTTGATAATCATCTACTTGAACTGAGGAATCACAGCTCTACACCAGTGGCATCGAAAACCAGAATCATATAAATCGAAAATGCGTTAAGACAATAATTTCGTACGATGTGAAACTTGACTTCAAATAACCTCACGAGTGCAACATAAGACTGGGTGAAAACTTCAAACAGTCATAAAGCATAAGAATCTAAACCTTCGGACAAATATACAATTTATAAACAATAGGCTAGTAGTAGAGTAATTGCATATCAAAAGCAGAAACTTACCATTCAACAAGTCATGTTCACTTCCCAACGTCCAGTGCATATATCGACGTGTAGTATGCTCTGAATTAGATGTTTCTGGAGGTGTAGTTGCAAGGGTTACATTCAATTGTTGACCAGTAATTGCTCGAGGTGTATAAGAACAATTATTTGAATTATCGAAAGACCATGGGTTAGGATTAAGAGTTTGCGTGTGATTAATATTGGGAAATGAATTAGGTGAGCCTAAAAGAGAGCCAGCAGTTGCAGCTGTTTGACCTGAAAAAGGTGTGGTTCCCCACTAAAATCACAATATAATTAATTTAGTGATTCATGAATGAACCCAGTCAAAGATATATATATATATATATATATATATATATATATATATATATATATATATATATATATATATATATATATATATATATATATATAGTCAAGCAAGAAGTTTACACCCACAGTGCAAATATTTTTTTCTCTTACATGATTCGCCAAGTCAGACAACTAAGTGACAGGTAAATATACACAATGAAATATAAATCCATGTTAGTTCAGGATTTAAGGGAAAATAAGAAGTGGGTACATCTGCGCAACTGTGTGACTAATATATGTTATCGAAAGTCTATAACTAGCGATTGTAATTACCCTATGCAACCCAGTAAACTAGACGACATTTCGCTGAACACAATAAATAAATGCTTGAATTCACCAAATATATGAAAGTTCGTGGATTGAACGACCAATTTCCTTTATTGTATGAGGATAGGTGATATTAACTGATTACCTAGACCTCAAAGAGGTGTGGTAGGGTTCCTATATGTGAATTTCTGGTTAAAAGTTATTAGTGCTTGATTCAATGAATAGCTGTTACATTACCTTTCTACACAATTCAAGTTGATAGTAGAAAACTTTATGGAATACGATTATATCTTAGTCTGACATAACCTTTCTTAGTCTAATCTTACTTTACTTAACATATTAGCGCTCAGCTTAAATTTTGGGTTACCAAAAATATTTTTTATCGAATTCTTCCCTTTTTCCTTGTTTTTAAACCTTCAAATAATTAATCGTAAAGCATACTCTTGTGAACTCCTAAATTGTTTTTAACCTATCGTTAGACGGGTTAAACAACATAACTTCGAGGAACTATCACAGTAGACAGCAGTTGGTTTCTAAGAGGACATGAACACGTAGCTGCAACAGTAAATTTTCATACAAGATGAATGAACCTTCACCACCAAACTTTTGTATGATTTCCTATTCAATCCACATGTAATAACAAACTAGATGATGATGATGATGATGACCTAAGAACTGCTGGCTGCCGTGCATATGGCATATGGGCTCCTATGAGGATGCCTCGATATTGCCTGAATGTTAATAATAGTAATTTACTTGCTTGTGGTTAGCAGAGAAATCCAGAACGCGTGTTTCGTCCCATTTTAGACTCGTCAGTTGGATGTCCCTACACCCTAATGATTATTGTTATAATTAATGTATCACCACAATAACTGATCGATCAATCTCATTCGGCTCAGCTGAGGACACTAGAGGAGTTGTAGAAAATCCTCTGTTCAAGCAGGAAAAGAACTATCAGTCAAGAGCTTAGAAACATACATCGTAGTAACAAACTATTATTTATAATTTTGTAGACTTCAGGGTCATTTATGAGGCTACACAAAAATATACCCACATATAAAACAAATAAGCACTATCTACAGTAATTATTAGCTCATTAAAATGCACTCGCTCAAATTACAACTGCTGAGACTATAAATGTACTCCACTAAATAAAAGTACAATACTATAAATGCACTGATGATACTTTAGATGTCATATTTAATAATCGATCCAATAAAGAAGCACTGAGTTGACTGAATTAGTGTTGAAAATTCGGATGTTGTTGACGCTTTATGCTGAGTGCAGTGCAGTAGATGTCCACACTGATTATTTCAGGTTGATGCAGGAAGGCCTTTCTTGCTATATTTCCAATCCTGGCGTTGACATCCTCATCTGTGCCTGTGCTGTCTGTATTTCAAACGATGCTGCCTAGGTAGGTAGGTAGGTAGGTAGGTAGGTAGGTAGGTAGGTAGGTAGGTAGGTAGGTAGGTAGGTAGGTAGGTAGGTAGGTAGGTAGGTAGGTAGGTAGGTAGGTAGGTAGGTAGGTAGGTAGGTAGGTAGGTAGGTAGGTAGGTAGGTAGGTTTCTTGCACTAGATAGTGAGTGGTGTGAACCTACATCTGCTCCCCTCGTTGATCTGATCTTGTGTCGAGTAGGCTGCGTCTCCACTCTCTTGAGATTGAGATGAAGTTGATGGTCAAAGTTAATTATTTTCTCTTTGTTGCTTTCTGTGAATACGAGAAACTGGTCTGCTTAAATATGAAGCAAAAATAAACAGTAATCCAACTGATAGCTGCTACCTTGATACGTTCGTCCGTCTTGCATATTACAGCAACTTAAGGAGGTATGCTAACTGTAACGCTTGTTTTCTGAGGTCTTAACACACTAGATTTGCTGGAGAGCGATAAAGCTAAAAGTAATCACTGTCATAATGTAAGTAGCTTACGTTCTGGTAGGGTCCGAGGGTGAAATTGTACTGCTGACTAGGCCGAGTATGCCAGTTGTAAAATGTCTTCTATGCACAAGTAGAAATTCATACTGATGCCGCCTCTCATAATCCACACGACGGATATGAAAAGGCTGGTACTACAAATAGCCCAATTCTCCCTATCTTAGCGCCTGTTGGTACCGGCGGTATGGACTGTTTCACTTCAATTGAAAAAGTCAGAAAAACTAAAATCCTTCAAAACGATGTGTGCAACCGGTCTCAACTAGATGCACCTTAGGTTCTGCGTTCACGCACGCAGATTGCTAAAACTACCCTTACTAATCTATTTAATTTGTCAGGTACGTCAAAAAGAAGTTATCTTCCACGGTTCGAATAGCCAAAAAGGGCCAACTGCTCTCATATTTATGCCAGTACACTTAACCAATGATCCGCCGGCTGAAAGTAAACCCCATAAATCACTGAGCAGCCACAACAAAGAAACATGACAATGTGAGGCCTGATACAAATAAACGATAATGTTAGTCGTTAAACTTTACACTAACTAGAGCAAATTAATGGATTCAAACGGATTAAAAATAAACAAGCTGAAGAACGATAGAGGACGGAAAAAGGCGAAGAGTAGTAAGATATTCGGGATTCTACCGATGATATGCGATTAAGACGTTCGCCCCAACATAACTGATATTCGGCCATTAAACAGGTTTTTAACCCTTCATTCTTACATCCTAAAAATTTCCAAAACATCACAAGTAGTAACTCTGTACTTAACAAGCATCAATAGTCACTGACTTCATGGATTGTTACCACGTCTTTGTTCGGTCACTATGAACTCCAACCCACTCCAGTCATATTAGTATTATGATATCTGATTCCGTAAATAAACTGTTTTTTATGCATACAGTTACACAGTATTCAAACTGTAGGCTTCGTGAATGAATTTTTAATATCTAAACACTGTAAGCAACAATAACACAGGATAATAATTATAACACCGTTATTTTGAAATCTACACAGGATGTTAGCGTTTTAAGGTGTGTAAATCAGCAACCACACGTAATGAGTCACACCTTTTGTGTGACTTCGCTGCCCAATCTTGGTTGGTGCAGTGTGCCACTGGTTGGATAATGGCTTGTTTAAATATAGTCTGAGAACAATGGAAAACATTGTGATTGATATGAGTACACTACTTTATAATACGTACAAAAGCGATGAATCTATAGGAATAATGTAAACCATTTATTTTCTACGCTGAAGAATTGTAATATACTCCGGTTGCCTAAACTGAAAGAAACTTGCTCAACCGTCTTTATCGCATGAGACCATTGAAATTCGATCGCTATGTATTTTAGTTCTACTGGGTGATGGTTGAAGGTAAGATGAAAATCTGGACCGCAGCCGGAATCGAACTAGCGACCACCGGGTTACCGGTCCAGTGCTCTACCAACTGAGCTGCCAGGTCCAATTGTTGACCAGAATTTTATTTCACTTCAATCAACACGGGTTTCGCCCGACTACCATGTGAATTCATGACGCGTTACTACCGCTTGATCGTATTCATACTGGTTGCCTAGTCAGGACTTCTCATTCCAATCCAAATCTAACCGGGCCGGTAAACCCGGTGGTCACTGGTTCGAACCCGGCCGTGGTCCAGATTTTCATCTCACTTCAATCATCACCCAGTATAAATACTAGTCTGTCAAACTGCGGTTATCTCAGACGGTCAAATCATATATTTTAGTGAAATTATCGAAGTAGGGTGACCCTAACTAGTTGCCGAAACGTCACAAAGTAATATACTCCAAAAGATATCAACACAACTCATACCTGGTTATCAGTTGTTGTTGCATACGATGATGATTCCTGAGATATATAGCCTCCTACACTACGTTCTGAAAGTCTAGATGAATCAAAGATTGGAGGAGGCCACATTTGACCAGTAGTACAGATAACAGTTGTATCTGAATTCTTTGAATTAGCATAGGATGCTAAAGCACGAAAAGATTGAGTTTTGTCACCTGAATCTTCAGTTTGACCACGTTCTTGTATCAAATCGACATCATTTCTAGTCGCAGACCAAGGAACAGTTGAAGGTGTGGAAAACGTAGGATAGGAACCAGTAGTACCACCAGTGCCAACGCCAGGTTTACCTAGAATAAGAGTGATTCAAATTCAACGTATGCAACACAATATAGACAGACAGTAATAATCTCGTCAATCCTTAAACCTCCTTTCACTTCATTAGACTAAAGCATTAAACTGAAACATGTAACAACAATTTAATACCGAAGAGATATAAAAAATTTTAATTGCTTATTTCAGCAAGGCTTGACCAGCGCATGGGACAGTTACCGAACTGCCCCTTACCGATAACCATCCTACTTCAATATAATCATTTGGTTACTTACTATGTTGTAGTACACAGGATAAGTCTACACAATCCGGTACCACATACACTTTTAGCTGACAGATTTAAGAGGAGTCGGTAGATGTACGATAATTACCTTTTAATGCACCTGATATGCTACCAAAACTCACTACTTCCGAATGAACAGGGAATAGATTTTACCTAGCCATATTACCGTTTACAGATTCTAAACTAGATATCATGCATTAAGATTACCAGATTATCTGCTGTATAATAATCCTGAGAGAAATTCTAACAAAGGTGGCAAAGTATACCTTTACTAGAAGTGTTTATAAATCAGACATGCAGTAGGATGATTCCAACTAGACATTTGTTAAACAAAGGACTGAACAGAACAATCATGTATAATGAGTGCCAATACCTGGCATTCCATACCAGTAAAAATGCTGGGAAATGATTACTACATCTTCCAACAAGATTCGATTATTAAACCAACGTTTCTGAATGTTTAACTAACACTTATTAGTTTACTCTATTCAGTGTATGAACGTTGAATTTTGTAGGCGTAAGTGTACATCCATTGTGCGGATCAAATTGCAACGCTACGCATCACCACAGAACACAGCATAGAATGCCAGTCAACTCAACTTCAACGTCCGACTTCTTTCCTGTAAGACATCTGGTTGACTTGGAGTATACAGAAGAAATAGTCCTAATAGGTGAAGATACCGACAAAAATGGCCCATACCTACTTCTAGTTTGAGGATATTGAGTGATATTGGGATGCATTGACCGCTCCACCTACTTGAGGAGTTTCACCAGCTCTGATAGGTTGACTGCTGACAAAATCTAAGCTAGGATGCAATGAGCCTGTTTTGCATTTGCCAACATATGTCGTTTCTGATGCCGGTGACGTATCCAACTACCTATCAAAGAGCGAGTATACTGTCCAGTGTATTAATTCCATAGCTCTCAAGCGGTTAGTGAAAGAAGAAATGAAGCTAAATCGTTCAAGTACAAATGTGATTGTAGTATTCCCTATATGTGGTGGAAATACCATATGAGCAATGTTAAGGTTAGATGTAAACAAAGAATTTAAATCAGTTAATGAAGCCGTGTACTTCAAGCGATTAAGGTGGTTGAAATGTTTTACGCATACTGAATCACTGTTGACCCTAATTTGTAAGTTTAGTTGAAATAAAATCAGGTTGAAAGTTGAAGGTGGCCAGACCAAGACAAGGTGCCAAACAATCAAGTATCTAAATGTTGGTCTGAGCTGTGTGGTAATATGAGTCGATATTGCTTACAGTGGCACAGATGTATAAACTCATTTGGAATTGTGAACAATTTCATCGACTTTTATTTATTTAATCCTTTTTCCTTCATTGACTTTCGCCTACTGTAATGTGATTCTTTTCTATCCACTTCTTCTTTGCATAGTGCTATGAATTGTGATAAATTAAACTGATGCACTTCTGTGTCAGATCCTACACTGAATCTGTTTGTCTGAAAAAGTATAGTGTTACTACCTTGCCTGCAGTAAAGTTCTTACCCAAGTACCTAAAACTGAATAAAAAGGTATTCATACTTGTAAAATACAAATCTTAACTGTTGGTCATACATAGAGAAGCTACAGTTTGAATGCCTTGGAAACTTCTGTTTATCCAATTTGGAGGTTTGTGGGGATTTATTTATTGATTCTAGGTTGACATTCATCATAAACTGACATCAGTTAGAGAAACCTGGGAGCATCAGATGGCTGTTTCGTCCTAGTGTAGGACTCTTCAACAGTGCGCAACCCATGACCCCGCCAGAGATTGAATCCAGGACCTTCAGGTTTCGCGGCCAGCATGTTACCATTGAGCCAATGGGTAGCATCCATTGAACCACATTTCCTACTTTTACCAGTTCACGATATAGCACGACCTCCATACAATATCATCGCTAAGTTCCCTGACGTCCGTATTGGTTGGCCCGACAGATCACGGCTTCTCATTAGAAATTCGGGAACCATATCTCGAAGAACGTCACTAATGAGCACTGGAAAGTAATTCAACTAAACATCATGCTATGTCGTGAACTGAGAGAATTAGGAAATGTTGACCATTGGATGCCAACCCACTGGCTCAATAGTAACGTGGTGGCCACGGAACCTGAAGGTCCTAGGTTTGATCCCTGGTGGGGTCATGGGCAAGCACCGCTGAGGAGTCCTATACTAGGACGAAACGGCTGTTCGTGCTCCCAGTTTTTCGATGGTTCACCAACTGATGTCGGTTCATGATGAATATCGGCTTAAAGTTTCTACTGAATTCCGAGATGACTGAATTACAAATAGGTAGATTTAAGGACAAATTGGGTACTGGGACGACAATAACAAAACAAAAATTCGTCTATCCAACAACACCATGGTACCATGCTAACATTTGAACTGACAGACTATCTTAATAACTTTCATTCAAGTTCAAATATATCGTGAAATCCACGTAACTAATAATCAACTCCAATAAACGATAAAATACAGTGACTCAAAACAAGTAAGCATTTGATGAACACTTACCAGGAGTTCTATTCCATGGTGTATTGGTATTGTTATTATTATTGTTACTGATACCAGTGGTAGTATTCGTGACTTGAGACATCAGGTAGACGTTGGCTGAGCCTGACAAGAAGGCATCTAGAAAGTAGTTACAAGGAAGTCAATACGAAGTAATATCACAAAACACAGAGATTAAGTATGTATGAAATAATCACAGTGAATAAAAAACATTTGAACAGACAAAGCATCGTTATACATAGTAAGAAGTCTCGTGCAATTGTGCATTTGGTTCAAACTGCCATATTTTAAAACAGCACGTGCCAGGAAAAACCTGAAACAGGTAAAATGAGATAAATGGAATAAGATATATCATGTTCCAGTTTAGCCGAAGATAGGAGGTGAGTGCATATGCACCACTAAAATTAGTTGAGCTGTTACCAACGGTCGTTGATCGCCTATCTCGGCTTTCACGTGGACAACTACCAGGAAGTCTACATTTTTCTTCACGGCTCAAACCAAAAGTTAGAAACTTTGTGGATTAGTTCCATGACTTGATCTGTTTACCCTCCACATCCTTCAAAACGAATGATACTTTAACTAGAGTTGCACACTATTAGTAGTGGTATTACTATTATTACTACTATTATCAACAGGGTGGATGACTGAGGTCATCAGCTGATTTACGCTCTTCATCTAAATCTCTACATGGTCTTTGAATTACTCAGAAAAGATTCACCGTATATGCTACGATAGAAGACGAGGCATTTAAATAACTGCAATCTTCTCAAGTTCCTAGCTTCAGTGGTGAGATTCGGTATAGCCTCCTTAAGATGAGGATAATGTGTGTATACATCTGCGCCACTGACTTCGACTCTGAGCCATGCGATCATCTAGAGTCTCCAACCGCTGGTTCTTCTTGCCACGCGGACCGCAACCAGCCAGTCTGCATAGCCCCACATGGCCCAAACCAATGGTCAAGGACTTCATACATTCGTGCCATGTTATAGTCTGGCCACCTCAGACCTTTTTCCAGCCTGAACCTTCTTCGTCATACATTGTGTGATGAGGTAATCGGTGACTAGGTATATGTAACACATATCGGAGCCAACCATCTCAGTCGATGAAGGTTCACAACTGTGTCAACTGATTTACCTCTTCTCCCTAAACTCTAAATCTGACTTCTGAGTTACTCACGTGGTGACACCACAAAACACGGCCTATACTATGAAGGCAATGGTGACCAAACACTTGAAGCCAGCCTTCTCATGTCCTCCACCGTCAACGACCATGTTTTACAGCCATACAGTAGAACAGACCGGACTACTGTGCAGGTGCAGTACACGCGACCCTTAATAGACAATCGGATATCACGGCGGCGCCATAGGTGGTGTAAGTTGGCGAAAGCAAGACGAGCCTTTTGTATCTGTGCCGAGATTTCATTGACCACTGAGCCACCAGGTCTGGGCGTATCCTACTTCCTAGATAAGTGAAGTGGTCAACACACTCAATCACTACACTCTCTATTGTTAGACGCAGTGAGGCACCGTTGAAGACCAATCCTGGAGCAACAATTTGCATTTCGGTAGTGAGAAACGCATACCAAACATTCTCAAATTCCCACTCAAAGTTTTCAGAAGACTCTGCATCTCATCAGTCAGCATTTTCAACTAAAAGAACTGACTATGTCATCTGCATATTTTAAGTCTAATGAGAATTCTCCTGCGATTAGGTCAACGTCTGTGTAATCAGGTGACGAGAGGGAGACCTCCATAAGAATATCTATGATAAGATTGAAAAGGAATGGAGACAGTGGGCATCCTTGACGGACACTACTCAATGAGCATAGCTCCCTGGACATCTCACCATAGGCCACAAGTGTTTGAGTAGAGAGCCTTCAATAAGCGGATGTACTTGCTCGGCAGGGCTTTCAGTGAGAGACATACATCATAAGACAATTATATCACAACTACAAAAAAAGTAGTTCATGTGACAAGGAAAAAGTGAAGTAAACAATATTATCATGTGGATTGGATCTTCTAAACATACTAGTTGATGTCTACTTGTTTCCCAAAGGATATCAAGCATTCAAACAACTTAGTGAAAGTAAGAATGATCCAAAAATAAGTAAAATACAATGGGTAGTGCAACTTCGTTTGAAGGAATGATTTTATGAAATAACAACTAAAAATAACAAATGCTCCATACAAAAACGGAACAGAAGAATAAATAAAAAAAATCCGAAATATGACGACTGAAATAATAAAAATCTTTATGATGCTAAATCCAATAACCAGTTTGTAATTTTCCAATTCACATATTCCTAGTCTCTTGAAACCCAACTGTCGATTTCAAATTGGAGCTTCCAACGTCCGAACCCTATGCCAAATAAAAAAAACAGGCATCTCTTGCCAAAACTCTGGTTCTCGAGCCATAGGCGAATGCCATGTTTATAAGACATGTGTAGACGTTCTGAGTGTGCTTATTCACTTGATCTCATCTGCAAATTGTAGTGAGCCTGAAAAATCCACTTGACCAATGTCGTCACTGGACTCGCAACTATAGGTATACAGTGAGCTGTCAGTAGAAAGCGAACTTCTCCACTGAATATCAGATATGTATGCTGTTCAGTAGAATAGATATGCAATAACCAGTAAGAGTTGCCACGTTCGTCCATTGGAAGGACCTAGTTTTGCATAGGACATTTTTTATTGATCTAAACATCTTTTTAAATAGTCGTTTTCACGCCGTTTAATACCGCATGGCCAGTAGTTCACTTCTTGCCCTCATTTTCAAGATAATTCCCTAATTGGTTAATGCTTACTTTACTAAGTTAATATCTCAATTTCTGGACAAGATCATATCTCACAAATATACATAAACATGTATGTTTGGGCTAGTTGAATATTATTATCTGAGAACTAAATAAAAGGATAAAAAAACAATAAAAATAAAAATAAACCAATTCCTCGCTGGAATCGGAGTGACGAAATGACCCCAGCTGGTGAAAGCCTTCGGGAAGCCAGTTGGACGATGTGTCTTCTCCCTATCCATAAAAGCAAACATAAGAATGGGGACATAGAATGTCCGCACCATGTATGAACCTAGCAAGGGTGTCCTGATTGCAAAATACATGAGAAGGTATAGTATTGAAGTGTTAGGAATCTGAGAAAGCAGGTGGAATGGAAATGGACTCTCCAAAACTGTCAACTACAGAGGAGTCAATAATCTAATCTACTCCGATATTCTCACCCAGACGATAACCATCAGCACACTGAGTTTGCGAGTAGCTTTCATGATGTCCCCAACAGCATTGAAGGCTATCATGCAGTGGGAACCAATCTACTCAACGATCAGAATCATGACAGCAAGCTTCAACTCAAAAGGAAGGAAAGTCACAATCATACAATACTACGCTACGCACCTACGAATAACGCAGATCAAGAGAAGAAAGAGGAATTCTACACACAACTGAAATCACTACTAGACAAAACCCCATTCCAGTTGGTGACATCGAAATTCATTCTAATCGGTGGGGTGACATGAATGCCAAACTCGGAGCAGACAACACATAAAGAAAACTCATCATGGGTCGAGAAGCAATCGGTGAAATGGTGAATCAGAATAGAGAACATTTTCCAGGTTTCTGCACATTCAACCATTGCGTGATTCCAGGCACTGTGTACAAACACAAGGATATTCACAAAGACACATGAATTCGATTTCAACAGACACCAGGACACAATTAAAATCTCAAGAGAGTGAAGACGCAGCCTACTCGACACAAGATCAGATCAACAAGGGGAGCAGATGTAGGTTCACACCACTCACTATCTAGTGCAAGGAACCTACCTACCTACCTTCAAAATCAACTTGAAAGCCTTCAAAGAAGTTGGTGATAGACGACCACAGTTGAAGTTGAACACCCAGAAGACAAACTGAACTGAAGGACGAAACCACAAAAAACATCTTCACGTCAGTTAGCCATCAGAACAAGATGGGAGACATTGAGCAACATCCCTGAAGGATCGCGCGTGGGAGAACACTGGAACTCTTTGGAAGCTATGTGGAAAGAAACCTGCATAACTGTGTTACGAAGGAAGAAGAAGAAGAAGAAGACAGGACAGGACAGGACAAGGAATGGATCTCGACGGACACAAAGTCTTTGCAAGAACTGGTGTGGAATCATGCTCCACTCGTGTCCACCCAAAGCAAGCAAAATATTAGGCCGCATCATCTTGGAGAGACTAAAAGATTCTCTGGATTCAAAATTACGACCGGAACAGGCTGACTGGCTTCAGGAAGAACAAATCATGTGCCGATCAAATTGCAACGCTATACTACGCTACATATCATCATAGAACACAGCATAGAATGCCAGTCAACTCAACTCTACCTCAACTTCATCGACTTTTTGAGAAGGCCTTCAACAGCGTCGACTGAGAAGTAATTTAGCAGGCAGCTGCTGCTTCAACACTACGCTTTCAGTGCCACAAACCTCTATCAACATCATTCAACAGCTATGTGCTACATCATGCTTGCTACATGCCAAGTGAATCACAATCGAAAGCTCAGTCATGCCTTTGAAGTGAAGACAGGAAGGAGTAAGACAAGGTTGTCGCCTACTATCACTGATGATCTTCCTGATTGTGGTGGACTGGATCATGTGGCGAACTGTGAGGAGTGAGAAGACGGGCATACACTGGCTGGACCGATGAAAAGACCCCACGAGAAGATTTGGATTTCGCCGATACAGATTCATGTCTAATGTAGAACAAACTCGAATAACTGCAGGCGAAAACTAACAAGTTGAGAGAAGAGGCAGGGCAGCGGAGACGGGACTTCACGTGAATGTAGATAAGACGGAGGTGATGAAGATACCCAACGAACAACAGTATCAACAACAAGAGGCACCAATCACCATCAACGGGAGAAATCTAAAGGAGGTTGTCTCTTTCACCCATCTAGCCAGCATCGTTTCAACTACGGGCAGCGGCACAGACAAGGACGTCAAAGCTAGGATCGAAAAAGCTTTTATTAATCAGAAATCACTGTGGAGATCTGCATTCAGCACAAAGAACAAGATCCGGATTTTCAACACCAATA